GAGGCAGTGGACAATGCTGGATCAAGAATAGCGAACTCACATGGAGAAGGATCTAGAGATATTGCTAATGAAAAATGTACGAAGCAAACGGTTGAAAATAATTTTTTTTTAAATGTCTAATTAAGATATTGAAATTTTCAGTTGGTGCTGTCAACGTATTTTTTCCTGCATCTGTACTCGTTATTACAATCAGTTATCAAAGAGATCTTCAATTCAATTTTGACATCGTCGGATGTAGGGAACTAAAAATATGAAGTCCCCAGAAGTTAACTATAGCGGTAGTGGACTGTACACTGCCTCGTGAAGGCAGGCCCGCACTTCAAGTGGAACGGGGCGGGCGCGTGGGTGGGTCGATGAGGCTTCGACCACCGCTGTCCCTCTGACCTACTGCCTCCCCCCTCCCTCTCCCCCTCCCCCTCACGCCACCACCCCGTTGGAACTCGGGCGATCGAAACACGCGAAAGCCAATGGGGAAGGAAGTCCCGAAGGAATTGACTTCCTTTTTCATTTGAGATAACGAGAGAACACGCGCTCGGTTGTCTTCAGGTATTCGGTAACGCCGATGGACTGATGTGATCGCTCTAAATACTTCCTCGGGGAAAAATCGTTTCTGCACGAGGTTGAGGGTTTGAATCTCGTTGAAGCTGTAAGCTTGTTAACTTCGTGAATTTGAAGATCGAAAGTTCCCAATGTACCCAGAACATAGCGTCATATTCAGCATTGTTATTTAACCCAGGAAAACGCAGCTTCTTTCTTCGTCCCTTGCTTTCCGTTTGGGTGTGAAGATGAAGTGCTGCTTTAATTAAAGAAACCTCTGGACCCCGGATAATAATGCTGTCTTTAATGAGTAATAAATCAATGTCTGTCGGTTCCTGTTGCCTTGACGCATAGGTAATCGGCGGATTTACGTTTCGAAATGGCAAGACGTCTGGTGAGAGCTGGTGTTACGGGACGTTCTCTACATACTGGGAGAGTACTTGGCCCTCAAACGTAGAACCTCTGTGCAGGGTGGCAAAGTTCTGAATGAGAGTAAAATGTCAAGGAATTTCATTGAACTGGGCACAGCTAGGATTATAAAAAAAAATAAAAAAAAATAAATAAAAAAAAAAAGAAAGAAAGAAAGAAAAATTGAGACCAATATTATAAAACCAAATCATAATTTTTTTTTTTCACTCGTATTCGTGAAAAGTGTACGAAGCCGGCTGGGGTGTCGACGTGCCTGTCTCCAGGACATTGAAAATCCAGGGGGAAGCTCCACACCCCAGTGTTATCCCGGTTCCATCCTTGGATCTTAAATATTTCACACAATACAGCGCTGCGAAATATACAAAAACAATCCTCCTCCCCCAATAAATTAAGTAATTAAATCATGTTTAATATATAACTAGCTATGAGATAAAAGATATACGAAAAATATTAATTGTTAATGTGTATATATATATATATATATATATATATATAATATATATATTACTTGCAGTAAAACCAACTTTGTATTTGTAATTCACACACACATATATTTATATGTATGTATAATGTTATTTATATGTTATGTATATTGATTATTAATAATATATATATATATATATTACAATATATATAGTAATATATATATATATATATACAAATATATATAGTATATATATATATACACATACTATATATCATATCAACATTACATAATTTTATTTTAAGGAGTTTCAAACTGTGTACAAGTTACGAAATGTAGGAGGTATCGCGTCAAAGTCATTGTAGTGTCTGAGAAAGAGACGATACCTCTTTGTAAACACTGTCCTTCACACGAAATTGTTTCCATTATTTGTTTATAGCTGTGATTCGTTCGTTTTCATCAAATATGTTGCCTCGTTTTAGAATTCTTTGGGTGTGACTAATCGCCCAATTTTGAACGAGGGAATTCATTCAAATTATCTTGCTCGCCTTTAAATGATTTAACTACGGTTATATTTGAATAAATTTACCTGCGAAAATCATAGATCTACTTTTGGGTCTGGGGGAATATTTTTTACACAATGGATTTTTTAAATTTAACGAAAACATCATAATTAGCTCATTGAAATAACCACTAAATAGGCCAAAAGTTCTAAACGTAGGGAAAACCTTTAACCAGGGAATACTGTTTTAAGTGTTTGTTAGTGATTACGGGTCCTTAAACTGTTAGGGTCACTGGTCCCGAAGATGTAGTGCGTGTTTCCCCCCCCTCTCTGGATATTGTCTTCTGCTTAATCGTGAGATCCTGCGCCGACCTCCCGTGGGCTAGCGCGGTTTTCCCCTAGCAGGTATCTCTCTCCAGCGGGGCGCCTCCCCAGAGGAGGCAAGTTCTAAGCTCCCGGCGTGAGGTGTAGTGTAGTGCATGACTGTGCGTGTGTGAACGGGTGAGGATAGCACAAGGAAGAGGAAGAAAAGATCGCACGCGGTCCGTGGCCCGTTTGTTAGGGTACTGCTCCGCCATTCGAGTCGTTGTGGTCGGAGAAATCACGGAAAACTACCGATCAGAGCAGTCGGTCTCTCCAATTCTCCAGCAGACAGCGACTGAATTCGACCTAGCTGTCAAGCTAGTGTCATTGCTCTGAAGTGACATCAGTTGATGCCCTGAGCCGCATCTCCCGGTGGCAACACTGGAGGTAGTCTGCCGGTTCGCCAGCTGGCGGCGGCGGCGGCGAGTGCGTGGGGCGGGGGCGCGGTGCGGAGAAGGGCGAGTGGGCGAATGGGACGCAAATTACGCCGTGGCGCTCTCGCACCTGTTGCTGGAGCCTCTCCTCCCCTCCCCTCTTCACTGCGCGCCCCGCGCCTCCCCGCCCCGCGCCGCCCTCTGCCTGTCTCCCGGCGTCGAAGGCCCTCGCTCCTGGGTCAATAGACGACTGTAGGCACAAAGCGACGCCGTCGGACGTACTCTATGGACAGCTTCTGGACCGGTGTGAAACAGCCGGCCGACGACGTTTGTTGCGAAGAAGCCGACTGAGAGTTGCTCCGGGTGAGGTCGCTGTATGTGGCTGTTGTCGCGGTCGCTGACAGTTTTGCTTTCTACAGGTAGTTTCGTGCTGGTGTGAGAGTATGCCTAGAACTAATCTTTAGATGTTTAGGCTCTTAAACCAACGTTAGGCACCTAAAATCGGATCTTACACTTTTATTGAGCTCTTCAATTCTTCGTCCTTTTTCAAATATCTAACGATTTTACGTAAGGTGAATATTTAAATTTAAATAAAATAGTATGATTTAAATAAAAATACAACATTTTTGTTGTTTTTTTAATTCATGGTTTTTATTAACCCTTACACACACACACACACACACACACACAGAACCGTTGGAGTATACGAGGTCGATGACACTGTAACAAGTTTCCTTGTTACAGGATCATGGATCAGTTATATATACTCCAACGGTTCTTTTTTTCGGTGATAGTTTTTTTTGTTTATACAGAATATTTTTTTAAAATAAATTTTTAATTTAATTTTAAAATAATTTTTTAAAATAATGCCATCACAAAACTAAATGAAGTCAGTTTTACCAAGTAAAAGAAAGAAGAAGAAAAAAAAGAAAAAAAAGAAGACTCTTCTGCTTCGGGGCATGCCCGTGGCGCCGCCACTAGCGCCGGGGTCGGAAATTCGCCGGCGGGCGCGGGCCTGGCGCCGGTGGGCTGGAGCGGTGCCTGGGAAACTAACTGGGCGGCCGAAGCGAACGCTGACGCTAGCTGCAGGGGCCAGGGCGCGCTCGCGGCGTCGGTGCAATGCGACTCTCACGCAGTCCCCCCCCCCCTCCCACCAGCGGCGTCTGTTGCACGGCACGGCCATGGAGCTCCCTCCCCCCCTCCAAACCCCACACGTTACACGCTCGGGGCTCGAGTTGACGACGCTGCCGCGCCTCTGACCGGGAGGTCTTCGTGGTCCAGTCCCGACGGTGTTTCTAAACAGTTACTACGAGTGAAGCGAGCGTATCCATTTTGATAGGATTTTGGCTACGTAGCTAGAAACTCCTCGGCCGCAGTCGAAATTATAATTATTCTATTAGCGGCCGGCTGCTCTGATCGGTACTTTTCCGTGATTTCTCAGATCAACAGCAGGCGAGTGCCGGAGCAGTACCCGAACAAACGGGCCACGATTTTAACCAGACCTTTCCTTCATGCTTGTTCTATCCTCATCCCTTACTTACACTAACTTGCACCACACATGCCGGGAGACCGGTCGGGAGGTTAGGCTAGGGTAGTGCCTCGCTAGTGGTTGGCAAATAAGGGCGGCATATTTGGGGGTGTAGGTCGACGCTGGAACTCGAGTGAAGCGGTGCTGGGTAGGCAACCTGTCTTGCATGAAGTGGGTCACATTCTGAGGCAAAAGACGTTTGTTTTACCTTCAATAGTGCATGATGTCAGGGGAAAACTTCAAATTTAATATCCCTCCTTCCTCAGACAAAGACACAGCAACAAAATACAGATGAACGAATTGAATTAAGTTAATGCCTTATTTAACGTAGCGAGACTCGCGCCATCAGGCCCGCTCTTCCGTCTGACCACGCAAATTTCGCCACGCTCCTTTCCCCAACTAGCGGAGAAAGGGGGTATTTCTTGGACGATAAACAGGCGGTTTTGAATTTAGCTCAGAGGCTTCGTTATTTAGGCTTAAGGATCTTTTACGTGCAAGTAAATCTACTAACATGGGACCGCCGGCTTTACTTCCCGCCAACTGGGGTACAGCAGTCCGGTACGCTAACCGTTACATTATCGTCGCCGCAAAACGAATGTGCCCGAGCCCTGTATTGTTTATAATGTATCGATTCGTTTACGTTCGTTATTGAGGACTTCCCCGCATTTACAAAAGTAAACTGTTTATTACGCAAGACTAAACAATTATACACTTTCAATATTTATAAATGTAAATTAAGTGCATAAATGTGGTGGTGGATGGGGGTTCCGCCCCCCTGCTCCTCCACGACATTCCCCGAGTGCGTTCCTGTGTGTGACGTGACGGTGTGTTGGTGTGGCGCAGGGCGATGCGGAGGAGACCGCGGCGCGGGCGGCGCAGGCGTCGTGGCTGTCCATCGAGCAGCGCTGCGACGCCGCCTACGCCAAGGGACACGCCGGCGCCCACCCGCACGCCAAGGGACACGCGCGCGGTGAGCTCATTACGATCGCTCATGTCTAGTTTAGTGTTGTTATTAATGTTATTATTATTATTATTATTATTATTATTATTATTATTATTATTATTATTATTATTATTAATATTATTATTATTAATATTATTTTTATTAATATTATTATAATATTTATTTTTACTCGCGAATCTGCCGACTAGATTCATGCTGCATCCTGCATTTACCGTGGCTCTGTGTCATTATCGCGGTCGCAGGTGCAGGTTAAATTGCGGACCAGCATTCAGCTGAATACGATTTTTGAGTCGGGGAAAATTCGAGATGTACGTGAGTCTGGGAAGATTCTAGGTCTGGGGGTAAGGGAAGAATCGAGATCTGAGAAGGGATGATTTGAAGTCTGGTGGTCAGGGAAGATTCGAGATAAATGAAGAGTCCGTGAAGATGTTAGATTTGGGAGTAAGGGAAGATTCGAGATCAGGGAAAGAAGGCAATAATTGGGGTCAAGGAGAGGCTGGGATGATTTGAGATCATCGAGACTGAAGAGGATTTCGAGTTATGAGAGAGTCACTGAAAAATTTGAGAAATGTAGTGATTGGAAAGTCTGAGTAAGTCATTATCGTGTGGATTTTAGATCTGGGAAAGTCTAGATGAAGTCACGACCATAATTCCAAGAAAGTTTTTTAGAATCATTGGGATTGAAGGAAAGTATGGAAACAGTTATTATATTATATATTTTACTTGATGTAATAAAGTAGTAAGGAAATGACGTAATTTTGGGCTTAATTTTGTGAATTTTTTGGTTTTTGTGGTGAAATTGAGCAGCCAACAAGTACAATAAAAGAGCGGTGTTATTGATAGTAGTGCCTTCTCTTATGTCGTAGTATGTTAATGCAAGGCCTGAGATACCAAGGAGAAAAGGACTGAGTCCATCACAGTGTATTAATTCGAACCGAAATCTTGTTTTTACTTAACATATTCTATAAAAACTGTTTCTCTCCTGAATAGTCAGAGTAAAAAACGCAAGGGTGTAACCGGAGGTCAGAGTTGGTGAATAGCAAAAATGCTTGTTCAACATTTTATATTAATACGATTTGACATCATGGTGAAAATTCATAGGGGGTTGACATGTATATAGTCATATATACAGCAAGAGAGGAGATTTTTAATTTTTGGTGTATGACTCTTTCACAGTTTTCTACTGGTTGTCCAAGTTAATCTGTATTGTAATGAAACTTAATTTACTGGTTGCTATGCAAAATAATTCAGTTTTATACAAGGTTCTTTTCTTCGGTTTCATAAAATCTCTCAATTTGGTAATTTGTTTTAGCCCTCTCCGATGCCACTGCAGTGGCAGCCAAACATCAAGAAAGGCTGGAGAAAGAATTAAAGGAGAGAATAGAACTGATTGAACGTCTTCAAATGCAGCTCCAAAAAGTGGAGAAGGAACGACATGTGGTTAGATAATTACACTTATATAATTGTTCCACTTTTTCTTTTATTCTGCTTTTTTCAAGTTCAGTATTTCAATATGCTAGAAATATTTTTGTAATTAAGGAAATTAAATTAAGATCAGAAATCAAACATTTAAAAGTTTTGTTTCCATTTTTTAAATTTCGTTTGTATGTATACAGAGTAATGTTGTATGTGTAGCATTTTGTGTAACATTTCAGAAGTTAATTTTTACTAAATCTTATCATTTACTTTTTTTTAAACTTTCTAGCTCACTCAGAGGACATCAGAACTGGAGAGCCAAGTGTTGCAACTTACAAAGCGCATCAGTGTTGAAGAATCTGTGAAACATGAGAGAATTTCAGTTCCACAAAATGAAGATCAGTTGGTGGCAGAGAACAATGAATTAAAAGCAATACTGAATGGTTGGAGCAGAATTTTTGAATATTTAACTATTTTTTTATTTCCACATCAAGACATACATGTGAACTTTTCTTATTGCAGATAATAACAAAAAGATGAGGGAGTTGGAAGAAGAGTTACTTCTTGTGAAGAGCCAATGCTTGGATCAAGTTATTGACTCCCAGGTGATTTCTGCTTTAGTGTTTTAACCTGATTTTAAACCTGATGTTTGGGAGTCAACAATATACATAAGAATTTTAGTATCTTGTAACTTCTACTTTCCTAGTGTCAATTTCTTTCTTCCTTTCTTCAGTTGTTACATTTTGTATTTCTCTCTTTTCGCCTATCTCCTTTTCTCTCTCTCTCTCTCTCTCTTTTTTCTTTTTTCTTTTCTTTTTTTTTTCTCCCTCTCCATTTTTTCCATTTTTACTTCCAAACGATGTGGAAGCATAAGGTTGTATCTTTATGCTTATTGTGTTCAACACGGAAAGCAAACTTAACACGTAACTAAGAACAAGTTTGTGTGTTCAGTAACTTGCTGAAATAATATTAACTTATTTAATATAATACTTTATTAATTGAAATATTCATACCCCAGAGTTTATTGTAGTACATGAATGAATATTTTCTGGTATTCAAGGTCAGTACAAGTGAATTACGTCTGGATGTAGAGCAAACGAGGAAGCGAATTGGCAATGAAGCAGGCGTTCAGCGTGCAGAAAACCTGCGGGCACATCAGGACATGGTGAACAGAATGATCCAAATGGGTGAAAAGGTAATTGTATTTTGTGTATTTACCAATTTAGAATTTCTCAGTAATATAGACCATTGCTTCCCAAACTGTGTTCTATGGGACCCGTCATATCCATGGAAGCCTTTTTAAGGCATCAGTGAAAATAAAAGTATTAAAAATAAGAAAGAAAAAAAATATCTGCAATCCAATCTACATGGCTAACGACGAGAATCGGCAACAATTTTACCGTTACTCATAGATACATGTCGGAGAAATCTTTAGTGGTTCATGTCTGGGAAGGGGTAAAGAACCAATGAGGAATGCACAAAATGGAAATAACAAAACGTTTGATCCATTATGTGAGAAACTGTTCTAGCCGATATAGTGTGTGAAATATTTTGTGGCTGAGGAGGACAGGACAAGCAGGTGGCATGGGTTGGAGAATAGAGAATGGGCAAGAAAGAGAGAGAGAAAGAGCATGATATATATCTGCCTCCTAATATAGACCTAAAAGTCCTTTTTTTGTTTCAGTCGAAAGAATCAGATCAAAATCTTAAGAAGCTGCAGGGTGAAGACCAAAAATTAGCTGCTGAAATGGTTTCAAAAATTGAAAAGTTAGGAGATCAAGAACAGCAGGATTTAATACACGGTGAGAATGCAAGATTTCAAATGTTCCCTACTTCCTGTTATACTTTTTGTATCTGTAATATTAATGAAAACAAATGTGTATTTTCTTGATATTTTATTTTTTGAAAAATATACTTTGGTGGAGTGTAGGTTATATTAATATTACTTCTTTTCAATATTTTGTTTCTAATTTAAAAAATTGTCAATATTTATAATTTTTACTCATTTTTATTAAGTATTTCGAACTTCACTACATTTCATCTGTTGTGTTTCAGGTACTTTAAAAGCTCTTGAATTAGAAAATCAAGTGTTAAATATGAGGAATGCTCAGTTAGAAAGAGAAGCGCTTAGAGGTAAAAAAATAGTTCCTCTTGGTCAATTTCCAGCGTTGCTTTTTGTTCTTTTGTGATTGGTTAACCTATTGTTTCCAGAGTATACTTCAAAGGTGGATGAGAGGAGACCTCATCCCGATGGCATGAATGTACTAGATAATGCGGATGAAGCAGTGAAAACAGAGGTAAAATTTGCAATATAACAACATAATATAAACAGAAGGTTGTGTACTCAAATGTTCTGTATTTTCATTAATTTTATTTAATTCTTTTGCATAGAATGTTTCAAGCAATTTACCTCATGTGACTGATTCAACAGCTTTGAGCCAACATTATGAGAATCAGATCATCCAGTTGCAAGAACTAGCTGAGGGATTGAAGGAACAAATTACACAATATGAAAAGGTAATTCTTAGTAAGCAACACCTTAAGCACTGAAAACGGATGATTTTCAGTTTGATGTTTTGTGAATAAAACACTCTATTTTTCAGAAATGCAGTGATTTGAAACGCGAGAATTTGGAGTTGGAAGGGATAGTTACAAATATTTTTGAAGACATCCAAGAAATACAAAAATTGTCTGATGCTCTCCCAGATCAGGTACTCTGAACACATCTAAAATATAAAAAAATAAAAAATAGTCTCTTGTACATTTATGTAGATGGAATAATCTGTAATGTATACTTCGTGTGCAAAGAGAAACTAAGTCATCTTTTATTCATCCGCGACCTCACCTGATTGGCTGGTTGCTGCAGCCTCCTACTTTAATGTTACGATATGCGTGTTCTTGAACTGTCTTTAGCATTTATGGGGACACCAACTAGGATAAGTCTTTCTCTCTTCCTCTCTTTCTCCCTCTTTCTCTCCTACTTTTTCTTTCTTCCTTTCTTTCACTCTTTCTGTCTTACTTTCTCTTTCTTTCTCTGTTTCTCTCTGCACGTGTGTGAGTATACATATAGAATATATGACCAATAATTGTGATTCAAATTATAAAATAGGTACTCTGCCATACCGAATTATTATTTATTTAATCGCACCAGTGCAAGATACATGTAAAACAGGGTTTTGCTGCTACAATTAATAAATAAATAAAAAGTTATAATTGTGTTAAAAATATTTCATATTCCTGAATTTTAATTTTTTTTTCCAGAATGTATCTGTTTTAACCAACTCACCAGAAAGACATAATTCACGATTTATCTTAATGATGGAGAAAGTCAAAGCAATTAGGGCAGCACTGTCAAGTTTCACAAATACATTAAAATCATACCAGGAAGAAAAGGTTTGATATAAGCATTTGATATTTTTGCTTTTTACTGGTAAAAAAAAGTAATGTTTTTAGTGTTGGCTTAGTTTTTTAAATTCTTTGTAATTATTACTGCTTTTGCAAGATAGTTTTTGTGTTTTAGGGCTATATAATATTGATTTATCCGTGTGTGAAAACGAATAATATATATTTATCCGTGTGTGAAAATGAGCAATGTTTTGATGTACAGATTTTCTGCTGTACAAGGTTTAGAATGAGGGGAAAAAACAAAAACTAAAGTAAGAAACTCACACATACTTGGGATCAACTTGCTATTGGTAGAAATAACTCTACTGAGGGTCAATTGCTCGATTTAAAATAATGTTTCAGTGGGCTGGGGATTGGATGGATTCATGAAGGCCTTAATAATGGGATGGTAGGCAAGTTATAAGTTCATTTTTGTGTGCAGTCAGAGTACTGTGAAAGACTTATCAGGAACACAGCAGAATTTCCGCTGACGTTGGAAGATGTTCAAGAAAGCTTTTTTTTTTGTGCTGGTTCCAGAAATGTCTTGAATTGGAACTGGAGGGGTCAGCGCGAGTAATTCAAGATTTGGAGACCCAGGTGGCAAAAGCGGAGGAAGAACGAAATGCCCTGGAAGTGAGCATGGAGGAACTGGACCAGCAGCATCAGGATGCTATTGGTGAGCATACAGTTTTATTCTGGAGCAATCGGGCCTTTCATAGGACCGTACATTTTAAATACTGTATTTGTCTGATTATAAGATAAAAATCTTTTCCCCAATAGTTGAAAAATGTAAGGTTGTCTTATATTCGCAGACTGTGCCTTGTCTTTTAGGCCTTATTTTTTTTCATTGCCTTTCCATGTCACAAAACTCGTGAATGTTGATGTAAGTATAAGCTGCGAAGATGATAAAATGATTGTGTGTATCTATTGTACGTAATTTGATGAAGAGACAATGAAACAGAAGAACTTGTAACAAGTAAAACTGTAAAAACTAATGCCGAGATTTTGTTGTGATGACGATTTGATGATACTTTTTAATCTCGGTTTGACAACCGGCAAGTACGAGTTCGCATAAGACTGAAATGAACAAAAATCACAATGATTGTTGTTCGCATTTGACATCAAACCTCAGGAAAAGGATGCGATTAAAAAATATTTTCTTTTCAAAAACTTTTTCAACTTGGAAATTAGTCGATAACCCCCAGTTTATGCCCAGTTTACCTCTGTTCCAGAGAGTCAGAGAAGTAAAGAATTTTGCAGTTCACAATTTGATCACACATACCTAAATGATACTAATTTCAAATATTTGCCAATAAAGTGTGGGACAGAGAGAAAATATTTAGACACAGACAGGAATGTTCTTGAAAGGCATCAGATGAAAGACTGGACAACTATCAATTTGCAAAACACACAAAACATTGGTACATTATGTGAACAAAAGTATCTGGACATGTGGCTGCAGAGACTTCCCAGTTCGTGTTGCCCTTCATTGTAATGCTGGAAATCAATAGGATGTTGGCCCTGTTGTCAGTTCCCGCTCTCGCTGGCTTAATTTCAATCGGGTGCTGCAAGGTATCTCTGGGAATGGCAGCCCATTCTTCATTTAGTGCTGCACTGAGGAAATGTATCAGTGAGGTCTGGCACTAAGTGAGCGTTCCAAAACATCCCAAAGGTGTTGGGTAGGATTGAAGTCAGGACTCTGTGCTGGCCAGTCCATTACAGAGAAGTAATTGTGAGATAACCACTCTGACACTGGTTGTGCCATATGAACAGGTGCTCAATAGTGTTGAAAGATGTAATCACCTTTTTTGAATAGCTCTTTAACTGTGGGAAGCAAGAAGGTGTTTAAAAGGTGTTGTAATTTTTGCAATTATTGCCATTAACTGCCACCGGGTCATACCCAATTGCAGTTCTAATAAGTGTATGTATATGTATCAACATAAGCCTGGGCTGTGATGGTGCCACACAAAACTACGTGGGGTGTAAGCCCCTCCGTGATAAACACATCACCATGACACCATTTTGGACGTGTCCAGTTACGTCTGATCACATAGTGTCCATGTGAAGATGTCTGGGGTAGCAGCAAAAGCCACGCTTAAGTTGATTTTAAGGAACAAGAAAATGACGGATCAAGCAATAAAGTCCTAACTATAACATTCTCATCAACAAGGCAATTTTTCAGACAATTAAACAATTTGCTATTTTGTTTTCACTTAATAGCAAAAATCAGTTAAAAATTTAAACATTTCTCAAGAAGCCTCTTCAAAATTAGGGGGTCGTCTTCTTTTTAGAGTCGCCTTGTATTTGAGTAAATATGGTAGTTGGCTTCATTTTTCTCCAGTTTGTGTACTGTGTAGTGGGTAAAAAGAGTGAGATCATAATTGAAGTATATTTTGGCACAAAAGCACATGTGGGACATCAGGTGTGTTACGTAAATGACAGGTCCCAAAGTCCAAAACTTCACTGTATTCTTGGAACTCTGCAAGCTAAGTATGCCAACTTCCTTAAAAAGCAGTTTTTGGATAAATATGTGTGGGAATTGGTTCGTGAGCATGCAGTGTGTATTTATAATTTGAAGTAGAATTATTATGCTTACAGTATTAGTAATTTTCAATTTTTTCCCATCATAAGTAATTAAAAATGCTAGGAATATTGAACTCAATGCCAATGAAGGCACCTTCTTCTGTGGATAATTCTCACAATGAAATTTACGAATATTGATTATAATTTTATGATGATGATTGGTGGTATATTACTTAACTTTGATACCAGTGGCTTTGAACAACTCATCAATGGAGTAATGGTATAATGTTGTTAAATTCCGAGAGTTGTATATTTGTTATTAAATTTTAACAGACATTACTATTTGACATATTTAAGCATGAATGGAATTAGTTTTAAAATGTTTTTGTTTTTTTATTATTACAGATAAACTGATTGGACTACGCAATGCTGAACTAATGGAGAATACACAATTAAAATCCGAAATTCTTGAGTTAAAAACTGTAGTGTCTCAGAAAACCCAGTTAAGAGATTGTAGCATTCAAACAGAGGAGTGGTCTGTAGATAATGTTATTAGAGAAGCAAGCACTCAAACTGATCATGTACATCAGTGTGACCAAGAGAATCAGACTTCTCTTCATTGTGACAAAGAAACTTCAGAAAATATGACTGAGGAGAAAATATTAAATGTAGAAGCTGATTCATTTAAATATGATTATGAATTAAGCGAGAAAATAAAGAAATTGGTTAACTTTGATCTTCCAAATGACTTTAATAATACAATTCCACAGTCTTTGTACCTTGTAGAAGAAATTGTGAAAATTGTCAATGATTGTAAATGGAAAAAAGATACATTGGAACGCAAGATATCTGAGTTAATCAGGGAAAATAAAGAAGACAAGTCTACCATTACAATTCTGGAAGCAGAATGTTCCAATTTGAAGGAGAATGTAGAAAGACTCGCTGAGCAGTTGGTGGGTGTTGCCAAGTCCTGCAAAGATCCTCTTCCTACCATCATAGAGAACTGCGAGGAAGCGGAACAGTTGGAGCAGAAGGTTGCAATTCTGGAAGAAGAGGTTGCAGTCTTGAGAGAAACCCGTGTGAATTTGGAGGAAGATGCTGCACGGATGAGGGAAGAACGAGAAGAACTTCTGGGAAGAATACGAAATACAGAGGCTCAGTTAAGAAATAAAGAAAATATTGTCACTGAACTGCAACGTTTTGCCAATGAAGCGAACACTTCCGCTCATAGTAACCTAGCAGCATCTGAATTAGCAGAAAAAGCAAGAATATCTGCGGAGGATAAAGCAAAGACACTCTCCCAGGAGCTAGAAACCTGTGTTCAGAACTATGGAAAACAGCTCCAAGATCTCGAAGAATTAGCAAATACTCTGGAAATTAAAAATAAAGGGCTGATCGAAGATATTAAAATTAAGGAAATGAAATTAGAAGAATACAAGAATTATATTTCTGAGTTGGAATTGGAAAAGAATGCTTTCAGTGTCCAATTGCAAAATAATACTTCAAAATTGGAAATGGTTGAAAAGAAGTTTTATAATGAAAAAGAAACGCTCCACAAGGAGATAATGCTCTTACAAGAACAACTCACTGTCATGGGTGCAGAGGGAGACAAATTTACTGCGGTTTCTGAAGATTTGGAGGTGAACTTAAAGGCCAAATTAGATCTCGAGCATCAATTAGAAATTGCAACAAAAAGTCTCAAGAAGGCTGAATTATTAATAATAAATCAAGAAGAGTTAAAAGCTGATGTGAAGAAGTGGCAGAACATGGCAACGTCTGAAGAGATGAAAGTGAGAGATACGCTGGCGTTGATGGTCAAGTTGGAAGAAGAGAACAGAGTTCTCAAAGAGAAATTAAGGGAAGAACAGTTGACAACAGAGAGTCTTAATCTGAAAAATGAACAAAATATGAAGGACATATTGGAACTTAGAGAACAACTTGAAGAGGAATTGGCTAAAGTAAGAACTGGACAGTTATTAGAAGATCTTCAGACAAAACACCATTCTGAAATAACAATTCTGAAAAATGACAAAAATCAGCTTGAACAGTCTTTATCATTAGCGCTACAACAACACAATTTACTAAAACAAGAAGTAGAATCTCATAAGGCTGTCTTACTTCAAAAGGAACAGTCGGAGGCCTTTTTACACCAAACCAATTTAGATCTAAAGATTCAAATGAATGCTTTAGAAAAGTATAAGGAAGAATATTTAGAGAGTACAAAAAAATTTGAAGAGGAAAAACAAAAATTTTGTTCGAAAATTACATCTTTAGAGAACAATTTAAGAGAGGAAGTGCATTTAAGTGAAAAAGTTCAATATTTAGAATCACATGTGCACATTCTTGTTCAAGAGAAAGAAAGTTTGATGGAGGAGAATTCTAAATTGAAAGCTGCCTTATCTGATAGTTATCGAGATAAATTTAATAAAATGGCAAATAGAAACTCTACTCTTCATGGCGACATTCCACTGCTGAGTAGACATTCCATAGAAAATGACAACAAGAAAACTATGGAAATAAAGCAATTACAACAGGATAAGCAAACAGTTTTATTAAGATTAGATGAAAAATTACAAGAAATAGATCTTCTTAAATTGAGATTGAAAGATCTATCTTCGAAAGTTGACGAAAATTATGAAACTATTAGAAAGTTGGAACAGGAAAAGGAAAACATTACGAATGAGAAATCTCAATGTGAAGATAAATTTGCCATGACTAAGGAAACTGTGATGAAACTATCAGAAATGATCAAGGAAAAGGACCAAGAGCTAACTGAGATGAAGACTCAACTTTCTTCTTTAAGCGCTGCTGCCCAAAGGAATGACGGCTACCACCAGCAGCTTGCCCAGGCTCGCGATCTGACGGCACAACTAGTTCAAGAGCGTGACCAACTTCTCCAAACAGTTCACGTGAAACACCAGGAAAGCCTCCAATACCATGCTGAAATCCAACGTCTCTCAGCTCTTCTCTCTCAGGAGATGGGTAAGAGCCAGCAGCTGGCTGCTCAGTGCGCGAGCCTCGCTCAGCAACAGGGCGAAGAGAAGGCCAGCCAGCAGGAAGCGCAGCAGCTTCAGGACTCTCTGAGAGTGAAGGACGAGGCCCTACAAAAGCTGTGCAAGCGCCTGGAGCTGCAGGAGCAGGAGTTGCAGGCACGCGGGAATGAACTGGAGGCTTTGCAACACCAGATGGAATCAATGGCGCAGAGCAAGGCAGCTCAGGTTGTCCAAATGGCAGCCAAAGACCTCCAGGATGAGGTGACTAAAACAAATATCTCTTTACCAATAATTTTTAATTTTGGGGGGAATGCTGATCGTGAATTTATGGGAAAAGTCAAAAAGTTTTAAGATATTTGGGGAAAATTAATTGGTGAATTTTATTGAATAAAATTAAGACTCTCTCTTCATAGAGAACCTTACTAAAAAAATAGTCTTAGAGACTTTGTCAGAGTAAATGAACTTTATTCTTAAAACAATCTAAAGTGTTTAAGCAGTGTTATTTTAACTTTAATTTAAAATAGGACAGAAGGTATCTCTCGTTACCAATTTAATTTTTGTTATTAGTATTTATTTTATACAAATTTGTGATTTTTTAGTTGATCAGAAGCTCTGACAAATTTTCTAGCTTAAAGAAGTTTCCTCTCTAGTTTGCCCCTAAATCTTAACTAAGTTCTTATATTTTTTAATATAAGTTTATATGTTTGCCTATATTGTATTATCTTTAATGAGATGATTTCACTCCTGAAATTAAAACAAAACCATTAATCTTTAAATACAAAATGCCGAAATCACGCCGGAGTATCTCAAAAAGTTTAACGCTTTTTCTATCTGATTTTTTGTACTCCTTCTACCTACCGTTCAATCATATACTGTGACTCCTCTATTTTATGAGGCGTTGTACATCAATTGCTATGTTGATGTATATTAATCAGCGTATGTACTATAACATAACCTCTGATTTTAATACACGCTTTCAGGTGTTTTCAATAATTGGGCCATTTTGGTGCTCTGTTGGACATAATTTAACTCCTGGAATAAACCTATTAAATGCCAGTCGTTTTTTTTAAACTCTCAGATTAAGCCTCTCCTCGCTTTGCGAGTCGGGAATTTCCAAAGCATTAGTGGCAATACTTATGATAATTTTTTTTTTGGAGTCTGTTAAATGTAACATGTGGCATGTAACCTGTTACATGGTGAATTTGAATGAAATTATCATTTTTATGGAATAAAAAAATTTAAATCTTTCTCATTTACACAGAAGTTTTATTGAATCATTGATATTTCAGTATATGCTTGTGGAAATGAAATGGACATAATTTGAAATCAAAAGAATTTTTTAAAATAATAGATTTGAATTCAAATATTATAGGGAAGTCATTTTTTTTAAATTATTTATGTCAAATCAAAAAGTTTGTTAATTCTTAAGAAGAAAATTTGAAAATTTTGAGGAGGACTTATATATCAAATTATCAACACTCGTGTTTTTCAGCAGTTCTTCAGGTTAAACAATTTATTACAAACTAGTTAAATAACTTGCAGTTTTCTTTTATTTAGGATGTTCAAGAAAAGTTAAAGGAGATCAATTCTAAATGGCAGGATGAACAAAGGAAAAACAAAAGTTTGCAAAATGAAGTAAGTTATTCTTTTGGGAATCATCTTTGGTATTCTTTTTATTATCTGTTGTTTTATGTTTAAATATCAAATTTTATTTTTGAACAGCTGGAAATATGTCAAGGAAAGGAACTGGCGTTACAGAGAGAAGTTGAAAGATTGCGTGTTCATCTTGTGGAAATAGAGGATATGTACACGCAAGAAGCTCTGAAGAGTGAGGAAAGAAACAAGGACCTTTCAAGCAAGCTACAACAGGCTGAAGAAATGATGAAATCATCATCTACTGTTTATAAATCTGCCAAGTATGTAAATATGTTAAGTAGTATAGTGAAATTACTGGGAAAAAGATCTAAAATGTTCCTCAATGGATAGGAATTTCTGAAATGATGCTTTTTCAAATTAAATTTCTAAAACCTAAAAGTTTTTAATTGTTTTATACGTCTTAATAGTGTTTCATAAAACTTATATTTACAGTTGTATGTGGATGACAGAAATATGTAGGATGGGGCAACATTAGCGGTGTCTATCAGGTTGTAACTTATACTGCGGGAGATGAGAGTTTGGTATTGACAGTTCAGTGGCATCTCTACGTTTCCTTCGCAACGGTATGCGCTGGGCCAATCTGGTATCAGCTATGTCAGCTTCCACTGACCTGCATTGCGAATGAATTGTATACATTTGCGAGGTGCATGACCAAAGGCAAGATCTAGTTACGAGTGTGGGCACTGTGTCCGGACATGGACCTGAATGAAGCATAATCTGTGGTAGATGGTAAGCGATGAGTTGAATTTCCAATGAAGGTTACAGAGTTGTCATTGTGTAAGTACCATAAAAATCTGTAGTGAAGGCGGTAGACATTGTGTGCTTGTATGTTTGGCAACAGCACACCATGTGCTGTCAATTCCAAAGTTCCAACTCTCGCTGTATAGTGGCAAAATACTGTTGATTCTGAAGAAGCAAAAAGTTTGCTTTCTCAACCACCCTAAAAGTCTGTTGTGTTTTTTTGTGTAAAATTTTTAATATATTTTGTTTGTGTTCTCAGCATTCGTGCAAATCAGCAAGTGGAGACACTTCAAGAACAAGCTCGGTTGATAGCCCAACAAAGAGATGACGTTCAGCTTAAGTTGTCAGCTGCTGAAGATCAAGTTGGCAAACACTCTGCTGCATTACGCAATCTTCAAGCTGTCCTGGAGCAATTTCAGCGTGGTAAGTCTGAGAACGTATTAAGGTTTTGGGTTTGGGGATTAAGACTTATGTTGTTTGTGAAACTTGAAAGTATTTCTGATGGTTTCTTACATTATAGTGGGATATAGATTATTTTTTCTATCTATATTAAAATTCGGTATTTTTCCTTGAATTTTATTATCTTTTTGAACCCCAAAAAACAACTCCAAAAACTTGTGTTTTAATTTTGTAGACAGAGAACGAGAAATTGAAGCAGCACGACAGTCAGTTTATGTGAAAGTTGAAGTGGCTCAGAGAAGACATGATGAATTGCTAAATGAAATATCTTCGTTAAAGGTAAGAATGAAGTATTTTTATTTCAGTTCCTTGCCAATTAAAAAAACTTTTTGAAAACTAAAGAAATATTTGCGAAGAACTGACCTAGTGGGTAAACACTTATTCCATTTTTATTTACTTTCATACATACGTATATAAAATTAATATACATAGTATACAGTAAGTTATGTAATGCTCTAGGAAATCAGTGTAGAGATTTCAACGGAAATTCAGTTTTTGGGGTACCCTTATTCCAAAAAAGTACTTATTTTTCAAAACGTCAGTTCGTTAACAACACAAGCACCTAAACTATGTGTAGGATTTTTTCAAAATATAATTCACCTCTGTCATTTTGGCCCTGACCTCGTGTCAATCTGGTTCAAGTTGCTTGTGATTTTGAAAAACATTTTTTATTTTTGGGGGTACTTTACATGATGCTTGTGGGATATTTTCAATACTTTCCGCAAATGAAATTAGTTCTGTTTAATTCGTTCTTTCATTAAGGTCATGTGCATGTTTTGAGAATTTTAGTCAGTTTTGTGCAGTACTGCATGAAATATCAGGAATTAAAAACAAACAAACAAGCAAACAAGAATTTCTCAAAAACAGCTCCAATTTTTAAAAAAAATCTTGGTTATGGATAGTTCTAAATATACTGTGTAAGATGTAAACATGGTTTTGCTGTGTTTTGTTCTATCAAAAGTTATCCAAATGTATTTTTTCTAAATATCTCTCATGCCATTAATATGCTCATTTAAAGTGATTTGTATATATTAGTGCATTAGTGAGAAGTGCTTCATATAATTTCAAATGAAGTTTCTTGAATACTCAAAAGTTTTCTGAGAAAGAGCTTCACATTTCAAGGGAGCACATTTGCACACATTTAGAGAAAACTAAGCAGCTGTAATTAGTACATACTTCTTGATAGATATAGAAACTACTCACATTTTGAGAAATGAAAGTTGTGTGGAGAATGAGGCATGTGCTGAAGTGTCTAGGTTGAATAACCTCATGGTGATTGTACTCGAAAGCAGTAATTAATAGCTGGGGGTTGTAATTAATGGAATATTCTTGAAATGTATAGAAACAGTCACATTTTGAGAAATAAAAGTTGTGTGAAGAAGAATGCATGTGCTTACCCTTTGGGAGATAATAGTTTGATATTCACAGTTAGGTGGCGTCCCTACGTTTCCATGGCGATGGCATGCTGTCGGCCAATCGGATGTCAGTTACGTCAGCATCCACTGACTTCTGTTCCCAATGATTTGTATACGATGTGGATGGTCAAAGACATAATTTGTGTTACAAGCATGGGGTGTATGAGCAGGGTGCACATGTGGGAGATGCTGTGCTCTGTGTGGGACCACAATGAAACAAATCAGTAATTGATAGCAAATGAAGTTTAGGATTTTCGATGACTCTTTATCTTTTCAAACAGGAAACTCATTCTACAACACAGGGTGGCAAGAGCTCTGTTTTTAATCTTCAGTAATGTGCATTGGGGCACTTTTTAAGAGTCTGTCACTGATACTGTAGCTGTTAATCCCAAAGTTCTGTATCGCGCAGGATATGGGCTATGTTGAATTTACTCAGACTCACTGTACTGGAAGGCTGTAATTAAGGGGTGGGGATTGTAATGGATGGAATGTTGTTTTGGATTTGCTTTCACTTGTTTGCTTTTGTTCAGATGCAACTGAAGGAAGCCAACGAGGGCTTGGGCGCAGCCTCACGATTGGGGGAAGAACTCGAGAGGAAGACTGAGATTGTCAATAGGCTGAAACAGGAAGGTAAGGAAGTTATTACTTTCAATGCTTGGAGCATTCTCTTCTGAAGTTTCAAATATTCAATTTATTATTTTGCTTAAAGAAAATGTAGTTCTTTCATCTTCTGCTGGCGCAATACATACGCATGCATTAATTTATATTAATAGAGCTCAGGAGATTTATAGCTCACAATTTTTTGTTTTCGATGGTATGTGTATTAATGGCTTTTGAAATCTTGATCTTTAAGGATTTGTTTTAGTGGCTCATTTAACAACAAATGTTTTTATTTAATGTGAGGGAGCATATGGTTTCTTTATGTTGATGCATTGTGACACTTGCAATGCAATGTCCAGAGTGTTTTGACGTGAATCCATATGCAACATTGTACTTGATTTGCCAATGACCTAGTTTCAACATGGAATAATTACAAATACTTGCTCTAGGAGGGCAATGATCTGGGTTTGGCACTAGGTTGACTGGTTAGGAATAAAAATACATTGTTGTGCAATATTTCTTCGTTGTGAAGGGGAGCCTTTTACATTTAGAGTGTCTTTGTGAAGGGGAGCCTTTTACATTTAGAGTGTCTCAAAGAGCATGTTGGAAAAGCATGGGGTCATAGAAGGCAAGTGACATACAAACTCTCTTTGAAGAACTGTCCTAATGAATCCTGGGAAAATATTTGTGTGGGACTTGATATGTTTGAGGGAATGAATGAACAAAGATGTTTGTTCACATATTTTTATCCTTGGAGGGAACTTGCACAAACCAGTGTTTTTTTCCTAAGTTGTCGACCTATAGCAATGTGATCGTTGTTGTTTTGTGAGCATGCTTCTACCAGTCTTGTGGCAACACCCGTTGTCGACGCTGATTGGCATGTGTCGGAGGAGACTCGCCCTCTTGCATTCCTCCTGTGAGTGTAGCGTCGACGGCTGAGGGATAAATATCAGCTGGTAATTCTGGGGTGTTCATAGAGCCCAGATTGCCGGTTGATATGAATCGTTCAGTCGGTTAAACCTGCAGTGGGTTGTTTTGCATTATCCTTCTGCTTTTGTTCTTGGCAAGTTTGTGTTCAGCATGTGTGCAAGTTTATATTTGTGTAGGTAAGATACTTTTGTTTTGATGTAGTTACCGACTTTTTTTAGAGCCATAGATTTTAGATTATTTGTATTTTTTTATTTTTTATTTTTTTTTAAATTTTGTGTTCAAGAAGATCGGATTTATTGGTCTTAAGGTATGTTTCTTCAATAGCATTATGAGTAAAATCTTATTAATTCAGTTTTCTAAATACTTGGTCCATAATTGTGACTCCAAGAATCATATGCAGAAACTTATCCTTTTGCAAATGTGAAAACATACTACTGATGTTTCTTTAGATTTTCTCAAGGTCTCTTTCATGAAATAAAGCAAATTTGATTAGAAAATTCAATTTCTTTACGAGGACTGCATGGTAAATAAGTAAAGTCTCCTTTTTGAATGAGTGTTTTTTGAAATTGCAGCAACTTAAGTTGTAGACATTCACAATTTATTTACTTTTCCCTTGTTTGCGGTCTTTTATCATTTTTTAAAAATTCATCTAAGACAAACACTTTAACAGAATGTTCAAATGTTTGCAGAAAGTTTTAATAAGGTCTTACTTATAATCTATGATAGTTTATCATGATTGTTCATTACTTAAGTTTACCTTATTGCCATCTGTTTTATTTTTCTGGATCTATATCTTTTTTTAAATTTTTTTTTTTATATTTCCCTTTATTGTTTTATTTTTATGGAATAATACTTTGTTTGAACATTAGTTTAGGTCCCTGATTACTGAAATGTAAGTTTCTTTTGAGCTCCCTTCTTTAGTAAGGAACTGAAAACTGACAAGGCAAAGAGGGAATCTCTTAGATTTAGACTGTTTTTGGAGCTTGAAGCTAGTACTACAAAAGGCAGAAATATCATTGACATTACTAGCTAGGGGGCGTTTGTATTTCAGTCACAGAATTCTAGAAATCTGAATTGGCTTATTACATGACAAAACTTACTGAGCGTCAAACGGCTTGAATTACACATTCACTCTCAACTTTGTAGTGATTACGAGGAGTTCTCACTGAAGAAAGGGAGCTCTGTATTTTTTCATTGAGATTCAACTTGATGCTGGGCAATGTTGGTGTAATCTCATGAGGTAACTGTGAGTGCTTTGAAGTAGCTCAGATTGCCTCGTGGGGTTGCACCACCCCTGCCAGATCCAGCGCAGCAGCAGGTGGTTGAGAAAGAACCTCTGCTTGCCACAAAGGAATCTATTTTAAATTTGTGCATCATTGTAAAGTTGGCATTTCTTGTTGTTTTTTTTATGCCCAAAATGAACTTGAATATCAGAAGGAGGCACATTAAGTGGGGTTTAAAAGAGCTCTGCTAATGTGCTGCAAAATCTGGCTATCTGAAGGATATTATATAAAGAGAAAATTTTGGCTGTTTACTTATAATTTTTTCTGTGGTGAATTTGTTAAATCAGTTTTCTCTGAGCAGTGATCAGTGAATCTGATCTTTTGCTGTATTTACTATTGGATTTATTATACTGGCTGCATTCTCTGGGTTGTAGGAGTGTGTTATGAGAGTGACAATTTGCTGGAACATTTCATTCTATTGAAAGGTGAAATGTTTTAGCTATGATAGCAGTCTGCATAATTGGTTTCTCAAAGATTATTTAACACCACATAATGTATTAAATTATTGTAGTATTTGAATTGTCTTTTTTTTAAAAAAATCAATGAAAAGTATATGTGTGGAATGAAGTGGCTTAGGAAATAAGTTTCACATGTTAGTGTTGTTTCAAATTAAATTAAATTTTTTGTTAGATAACATTATTTATAAGATTATAAAAATAATTTCACCTTTTATTATAAAGATGAAGATGATGATTATATACATTATTTCACTTATATTGCCATTACCATTTCCTATGGTAATATTGAGTGTAATATGAACTTGTTGAATGTATGTTTCACATGGGCTAGTTGCAGTTTATTGTTGCTACTTAGTATGTACATGAATTGCACTGGAGAGGGTGGGATGCGAGCATGGCGTTCCTATCAGTTTGGCTCAGATTATTAGATGCAAAAAACTGCAAATATTTATTTCTTTACTTATGTGAAAAAATATGTTGTGAACCTGTTTAAAACATTAAGTAAACTACAATTGGTAATTTTACTGTGTCAGTGTTGTGATGGTTACATTTTCTATATAATAAATAACTTATGAGTCTTCTAATGTTAATGTTGAAGCAAACTTTTTCAAGGTAATTGTTACGAATAAATGATAATTGTCACAATCATGAATGTGTTTAATGTTGGAAATACTTGTTCAAAAGAATATCCCTGATGAGTTACAATTCATAAGGTAATATTTTCATTTAACTCTTTAAGGTGCATAAAAGTTGCATGTAGCTACCAGCATTCTCATTGGCATCATAGTATTTGCATGTTTTTCATTAAAGTTAAAAAAATGGTCTATTTTTACAAATGAATGCATATGGAATTTGTTTAAGTCTGTAAAGAAAATGTAATCTGGAGAATTAATCAGTTCAGTTTTTAGTTCATTTACAATCAAGATTTGAAAAGGATTAAAATACAACATACTTCAAAAAATTTTCTTCCTTTATTACCCCTTTCGCCATTCCTTCAATGCCAAATCTACATACCATTCAGGGTGTATTGATATTTTTATTGGTGATCAATTTATCATTAAATTTCACATTTTACAAAACTTGCAAAAAGCATGGTAGAGTGGTCTAACGTTAAAGTTTCTTTTATCTTGCTAATACATCTTTTAATTTGGGCTTGTTCTTTAACATCCCAAGTGATCAAAAATTGACCAAATTATAAGAGATGTAGTAAATTGACTTACAGAAGTTTTATTTATGTTCTTTAATAGTGGAGTAATGTTAAATCTCTGGAAGCTATTGATTGATTTTACTTACATTACTGGTTGTTTTTGATGTTACATTTATAGCATAAAGTAGTAAAAAAAATACTTCTTACATTCTGACAGAAAGTTTTAATTGTGTTTAGAAAATAAATTAATAGCATTAAAACTACTTTAAATTATTAGAAGTATATAATAAAACAAGTATCTAGAACGCTGAATGGCGTGTGTTGAGGTATTTTGAGAAACAATGTCCAAGTAATTCAGTGGCTCAGTTAATCATGACATTTCCCATTATGCGCATGTGTAATCCAGGTTGGTAGTTAGAGCATGGTAGCATTGTGCCTGCCTGCCCCGCCTGCTGCCACCCCCTAGCCAGCAGGCCAGGGCGTGAGTATTACATCAGGTACTGGTGAGTTGAACACACCAGTGCTTGTGTCATACTTGCATCCTGGTGCTGTGGAACAACGATTGGGACGCCTCATCGTTGTTTGGTGAAGCATGGAGTATGATTTAGTGGATAGTTTATGCTTGAAATTGTGTTGTAGGATGAAGTTTTTTTAGGTATTTAAATTAAAAAAGGTGAGGTAAGAGTATGATATTTTTGCAATTAATTAGTGTAACATTAGAAAAAAATTTACTAAGCTGCTTTTAACATGGAGCTGAAGTTAATTAACAAGCAAAATTGTCTTTCTTTCTGCTTATTAATTTTATTTTGGAAAAAGGAAAGAAAAGATTTATTCACAGAAAACGTTTCCCTTCTTTTCATTTCTTAATATTAATTTCTTTGTTTTAAAATCTTCCTAAAACATTGAGTTGTTCCTTTGTGGTGAAGAAAAATTCTGAAAGTACAAGTAATTCTAATGTAGCAATTAGCTTCATTTCCTACTTTTCATTAAATATTTGTACATTGCAGTTGTGCATTTGGAAGAAAAAGTTTTGAAAGCTGAAGGAGAAGCTAAGATGGTGGAGCAAACTGTTGAAGGCAAAGTTGACAAGTGAGTACATATTTTATTCATTTATCGTGTTTCACATGTTTTATGCAATTATGTTTTTATTTTAAGAAAAAAATATGCTATCAAACTGTCCTTTCTAATGTATAAGTGTCACCATTCCCACTTCTTTGTTACACAATTACAATCTGAGAATGTATTCGACAATCGTAAAGAAATCCAAATTGTGACCATGTTACTGAGTAAAAATGCATTTTAATAATTAAATTTGTTGAAAGAATTGGTTTCCCCAATCAGGATTCAAAGTTGGGCTTTCTGGTTTACGTCCAGTTTTTATGGGGTTTACAACCAGTTTATGCCCAGCTGTCCTGTTTAATCAAAAAATACAACTTAATATGATGGCTTTTTATACACAACTTTCATTTATATACCTACTTACATTTATATTTTATACAAGTTATATTTTTTATACCAAAGTTTGAAAATTTCAGAGAAATTGGTTGAGTAGTTTTTGCGCCTATATGTGAGTGACATGCACTTATTTCTATATTTACCAACAGACCATTTATACCCTTTCACACAGTGTAAAATGTAATTGTGTCCTTTCAGGTCCTTAGTGAAGAATGTTGTGCTGGGTTTCTTTTTGGCACCATCCAATTCCAAAGATCAAGTTTTGCATGTTGTTGCAAGCGTGCTGGATTTCAGTGAGGATGAGACGAGTCGGGTTCAAAAGAGACTTGGCTTACATGGTTCAGAGGGCAGTGGTGGTTGGTTTAAGAGCTTATTACATCCTTCTGGCCAAAACCAGAGCAATAATCAAGTAAGAGAAAGGATTTTTTCTAAGTGTGTTGTGTTCATTGAATTTATGTTGCTTGGATTTCAGGGTTATACATGTGTCTTGCTAATGAACCGTTCAGGATAGAATGACGTAGAATTTGGTATCGGTCCCACAATCCAAATGGATTTCGAAATTAATTAAATCAAGTCACAAAAAAAATATTTTTGTGTTCAAAAACCTTACTGCTACTTGTAAAACTATCACAAATTCTTAAGAGTAAATAACTTTATAATAATTCTGACCGTGTCAGTTAATATTTGTTTTTTATTTTCTCAATAAATTTGTAGACATTATTAGATAGCTTAGTTAAATACTAAAGTGATAATCTAAGATGCTGAGATGTTCACCTTGTATAAATTCAATAAATGTTCTCTGACAAGTATTTTGTTTGAGGAGTTGCTTGGTTTGTAAAATGTAAACAGATTGATTGCAATATGATGATTTAAGTTGTTGGAAGTTCATGGTATTATGTTAACTTGGGATTCGTACTGCCTAAAATCTTATTTTAAGCGCCTGTAGGGGAAGACATAGTAATTTCTAAAATATGAAGCATAAATTGAAATAGGAATACATTTTATTAGGCTTTAAGCTATTTTAAAACTTTTTTTTGAATGTCTGTTTTATTTACACTATTATTGAAAAGGAACTTTTTGTCTCCAGAAAATGGAAAGCTACTAGAAACTAATTGTACATACTGAAGAGACATTGTACGTTATTCATACCAGAGGGAGAGACACACCCACACACACCCACACCACAACAATTTGCCTGTACATTGAAAAAAGTCGATTTGCTTATCCGATGAAAGTAGCACTTTCTTTTGTTAACATATTTTGTTTTCTAGAATAAAAGTACCTCACTCTCAATACAAAATACTTGCAGACTCTGACCTGGAATTATGATTATTATTATTCTGATAATTATTGGTGAAAGGGTTGATTGAATTTTTTAGGAATCTCAGATTTGAGTTTGGCATATTTGCTCACCTTGAGGGTATATCTATTGGGGGGGGGGAAATGTACAGAGTAAGCTGGATTGTAAGATCATACAATCCGTAAAAATTAGACAAACTGAAGTGGCTTGCAATGGGAATCTTGGTACAAATAAGTAAATTGTCGCTCTGTTAAAAGATTCATCTACGAAAGTAACTTATCAAAAAGCCAAGATAATTAAAAAGTAAAAAGTGAGATTATTGCATGAGGATAAGAAATATTTTGGTACTATAAATGTAGCTACTATTGTATTTAAATTATTGGAAGGTGTTAATAAATTTTTGTTATTTACATCAAAATTGTAAAATAGAAATTTGCCTAAAAATTTCGATGTCTTCGTAATAGAACTGTCTGAAAATCACTTTCAAATGTAGTAATATGATGTGTTGGTAGCTCTTGTGAATGTCTATGCCAATAATTGGAATGCTTGTGATGGGTAATTCTTCCATCTCATCTCTTATTCTTTCTTGGCTTTTACTTTCTGTGGCTATTATGATTTGTTTCTAATAATCTGGATATAAATTTAACTTGCAATGTTTGTTTGACAAGTATATCACAGTTTTTCTTTGTCATTTGCCAGTCTCTCTCGGAGGCCTTTGTTCGATTTCTGGAGAATGAATCGATCCCGCAGCCTAAGTTAAAGATGCTACCTGAAGCTGAAAAACAAGCCGGTAGCAGCTCAAATGTAAGTAATGCCTTGTAATTATTGCTGTATTCAAAAATTAATTTAGTTACCAAGTTTTTGTTGATGTCTGTGTTGTTGTTTTTTTGGTGACATTTGCGTGAACTGTGTTGAAGTCAAATTTTCATTTTATCTTAAATTTTTTTAAATATATAACAAGGTCACTGAAATTATTTAAAGGTCCATATTATATTTATGTTTGATTGTTTTGGAACTGATAGGAGATACAATGTTTGATCTTATTATTTGTCAAGCCTGTAACATGAGTTTTTGTTTTGACTTATTATCTTGTTATCTTTCAGAGTCCAAGAGCTACTCCTGTCTCTACACAGCGAAAGTCACCTCTTCTCCTTGCAGATGTTCAGCTGCCAACATTTGCTCAGTTTCCTGTTGGTCGTAATAGTAGTAGTATATTAAAAGATATTTTGAAGGAGAGTTGACCAGAGTTGTTTGATGAAGGATTATTTTAAAAAGCAAAACCAATAATGATATTATGCTATATCAATAAACATACAATGGCTGTAGAGTAGGTTGTAAATTTTGTTGAAACTGTATAAAGTATGAACTTTTAAAAGTGGCTGTACAATTCTGTGCATTTCAATGTCTTTGTAACTTTATATGAATGACTGAATATGCATAACTATGTATGATAGCTAATGGTTGCTAATGAAATTAAAAAAAAATTTGTTGCATAGTATTATATTTTGTTTCTACCGTGATTCCAAATCCTTGTGTAGTCTTTTTTAACTATATTGGTACACATGAATGAAACTATACTTGACATTTAATAATACATTTTTATTTCTATCTGTGAATTAAAAGCAATATGCTACTCAAAATTCTGATATTGTAAGAAACTAGGTGTGCTTCCTTGCTCATGAAGTTCAAGGCTGGTTCTCTCATTTAAATTTGTATAGTTTAATTTTAAATATTTTTTAATCATACCGTTTATTATTTATGCATGGATCACTTTATTCAAATTTCTGTTATTTCTTCCCATTCGGTATCTTGAAAATTTTTTTTCAATTGGTTATGCCCTCATTGAAACAATTTGAGATTTATACAATGCCGAATTTGATCTATTGTCTCCACAGCGGGTAAAACAAACATGCAAACTAAAATTCAGTACTGAATTTTTATTTTGTGCTTGTTTTCTTCCTTCAAATTCCTGTCCAGGGCCCTCTAATTTTCAAATCAAGGGCTATAATTTCATTGTTTTCCTAACTATATATCTTGAATATTTTAAATGGACATGCTCCAGAAGCATGTATTGTGCTATGAAACATTCATATTGAGACATGTTATGTCTCAGTGTTTCACAGTTTCTTTCCTTTTTACCTTATTAATTATGTCTGTAATACGTAAGGTTTAGTATAATTTTTGATTGTCATTGCACCACTCATTAGGGTGTGTAATTTTTTTCATAGTTGCAAGTATTAGAAAAGAAACCTAGGTGTGACAAGAGAGATGGTTGCAGCATCTTGGTGAGAGTGAGATGGGGCAGAGACAGGACAGTGGTGTTATGGTGTAGGGGTGAGTCAGGAAACTTTGATAACTTGAATATTTTTTTAGAACTGAATTTGTCAAGTGCAACAGGGATAAATACGAGGTGCTAGCTGGAGAGGAATGGTGGATCCGGGGTTTCTGCCGTCATGATTGCTGATGCGTTTCATGTTTTGTCATCAGGGAGAATAAAGCATTCATTCAAGGTCATTAATGTTCTATTTTGTTTGTGTTTTAACTATTAAGATTTCAGACAAATGGTTTTGTGATATCTTCGTTTTGTAACGTAAAGGTATTTGGAAAATTTGTAGAAAATATTAGAACTATGCATAATGGGTAGGAAGCATTGTTTTAAATGTATTAATTTAAATAGGGAACAAGGGAAGAGAAACATTCTTACAACAATTTCAAAATATTTTTTTTGTCATTAAATGCGCATGGAACTTACATTTTGTAAATTAAATTTGAAAACTATGACTTGTAATGATATTTGCTCATGCATTTTAAACCTTTGCAGTATTTCTTTTTTCTGGTTCCCAATTGCTAAAGCTCTGGAGAATTTGTATTGGATGGGTGACAATCATACACATGCATGAGAAAATAAATTTCTATTGCTGTACCAGTTTGGATGGAAATAAATAAGAATGTTATTTATATCATAAAGTAGAAAAAAGAGGGGTATATAGTTTAAAAATCTTCTATAGAGTGAACATCCATTCATCAATGTCACACATTTATAAGGAAACTGAGCCAAACGCAAAAAGCTATGAAAACCCCTACAAGTAAAGGTTGAAGAAAACACTAGGAGTTGCTACAATGATCCAAGTAGCTTTGTTTTTCTGATAAGGAAAGTATTTCACGAATTGACTTGAAATCTTAAATGGATAAATATTTTGGATAATTCCCTGCAGAATATAACAAACTTAAAAGACATTAGTCCTGTCTCAGATTAATAACAAAGAATCAAGATATCAATATTGTGACTATTACATGTTCCTAAATGTCACATTTAAGTTCAATGAAATAACTTTTAGGTATATTAAAGGTGCATTGATAGTTCAAAGTTGCAAAAGTTTGTGTTTGTTTCATTGTTTTTATATCTTTATTTTTATTAGTTTTCTTAGTGTCAATAAACTGTCTTACAAATTAGTAAGGAGTAACCAAGACTTGCATTTATTTAAATGATTTAAAAGCAGTGTGAAATACTGAACAAATCTTATCGGGGAGAAAAAGCACTGGGATACCAGAAGTCAAAGACTTTGGTGAAGGTGTTCCTAGAGCCACCGAGGGAATCCCTGTGCCTTGGCTTACTGGACTGGCCCACACAGAACCCCCTAGTTATCCAGTGCACTTGCTCATTACAAGTTTAACCTTTAGACTCTGTTTAGGGTACTTATTTACTGCCAGGGGCAAATAGTTGTGTAATACTGAACATTATACACATGAAATTCTGCTATTAATAACTGTATATGCTGTTTATATCCAGTTTTACATGTATTGTAAACTTTTCAGTTTTTCTTTTTTGGCAATAATTTGATATTTGAGTGGTTGGGGTCAGAAACACGTCATATGTCATCTAAATTACAAGCAAAAAATTCTTGAAACTTGTCCATTTCAGTTTTGTAGTATTGTGTTGGGGTTTCTGGGTAATAATTTGGGGTGTACTAAACTATTACAATTTGGTAGTACTGTTTTAAACATTCTCATGCTGGTAAGATAGACCCCATTTTGGTAAGGGTTTTTGTCCAGTTTCCCTGGTCCTTTGAACAAATGCTGAGATGGCCCCTGGTTTTGCTTCTGGACAGTGATATAACTTCACCCTCTGCACCCAAGACTTCCTGTTGACTTATATACATGATTATAATTGTATATGTGACTCAATAAATTATTATTATTATTATTATTATTATTATTATTATTATTAATGTACTTCACTAAGTTGAATATTTACTTCAGTTATTTCTTCTGTGAAGTTAGGTAGATCATATTCTGTTTGCGCAAAAATAATTGTTTTCATTCCTAGCACACTTAGGAATTTTATGAAGAAAGAGCAATGCAGAAAATGAAATATTGTTATTGAAGTTCATATTTGAGAATTTTTAGGTCAAAAATGCATATTTTTAAAAGCATATTTCTAGTTTTCTAGAGCATAACATTTTTCTTCCTAGTTCTTTTGTGTTGTGAACTTGGGATCACAGATGAGTGGCACGTCCTAAAACAACCTATTGTACTCTGGGCTGCTTAGTGTAGAGAAACATTGAGTTTTTCTCTATGTTCATTTAGAACTACTAGACCAATCTCTTCTAACTGTTGGTAAGTAGCCTTTTTAGTGTATTTGAACTGTTGCTACCTGAACCACTTCGAGAGACGAAGAAGGGATTTTTAAAATTGGTGTTTTGGAAAGCTATTTCAAGATTCTTACTGCATATGCTCTAAAAGATACCGCTTTTACTTATGGCTGTTCAATATTTAAAAAAATCTAGTAGTTCATTTACCATACATAATATCAATTTTTTTTTTTTTTTTGCAAATGAAGCTAATGTTATATTTTGTCAAAGTCAGTACAACTGTATATTGCTGACAACATAGGTTAACATTTTTACAATGCAATCAAAGACTTGTTATTTGTCAGAAGTATTCATTATGTAATCATCTTTCAAAAATTATTTTAAAATCTTTAATAATTTGACCATGAATTACAGTGATATTATTGGTAATGATGTGGTGGCGAAAATTATTTGCAATGTTAGGAGTAGCCAGCCCAACCCTGTGATAAGGGAATAACCTCTTGGCTAAAACCAAATGTTTTTAGTTTTGGTCCTATGTTGTTTTGATAATTTCATGCATTGGTAATAATTATTTTTCTTAAAAGAAATAAATTAACTTTGAAAAGGATAAATTTAAGAAACTAATAATCAGTGAGTGGGGTTTTTAGAATGTTACATTTAAAACACTAACAAATTTAAAGTTCCATGTTACTGATTAGTAATGTCCGTACATATCACAATTGAAATACAGGGTACAAAATTGTTTATTTTTATTATGCTAATATGTAAAAATAAGTTAAAATGTAATGATACTGTGACAAAGTAAATATTTTTTTTGTACAAAACCATTTTTGACAAAAAGTATAGAAGTGTATTTATTTAAATTATATAGAAAAGAAAATGTATATATTAAAATATACATACACGCACACCCACCCACGCGCGCGCACACACACCTACACATACAAAAAGCGCCCCGCGAGTCGACATGCAAGGAACGGTGTCGGTCCACGTGACCGGCGTCAGCTCTCGTCGGACGGGGCGGAGGGGGTGGGGAGTGGAACGAGGCGAGGAGCGGCACGTCGATCGACAGGCCGCCCGGGGACTCCCCGCCCTGACCACGCCCAACCTCAGCGGAGGGGGAAGCCGTCTGGCAGCCGTCTGCCGCGCCGACAGAAGCCTGCTCTGCCGACTCGGCGCCACGCCTGCGCACTCTTCACCTTCATACCTCGTTGCGCGGAGCGTGGCCGGCGCCCCGCCCCGCCCCGCCCCGCCTTGCACCGCCACGTCACGCGCCACGCGAGGCTCAGCTCGCGGGTCCCCGCGCTGCGCAGCTCGACGTCAGGGCAAGTACTATACGCGCAAGTTTTCTTGATATTCCACAGCGGGGGTTGCAGGGAGAGGAGGGATTTGGCTACGTCACGGCTGAAAAGGGCTTACCAACTGTGGGCATGAACCTAACTCGCCAAAGCGTGCCACGAGAAATGCTACGATTGTTTTGAAAGTACGAGGTGGTTGTTGTCAGCATTGTAAATTGGTACGGGCCGTTCCGAGTCGAACCTAAATATCTCACCCTGGATGAGGACTAGGGAGCTCGTGTATCAAGGAAACTTGCACGAGTAATACGCGGTGCGCACGTTGTTTTATTGTCTCCTTATAAGGCGGTTTTTATTTCTTGGCGCGTGAAGGCCTGTCTTCACGATTTCGCGGCTTTCTCGGTCGTGCCGCTAGATGTCGAATGATCGCGTCCGTATCGAGCAGTGCTGGCAATCATGCGACATCCAGCGGTACGACCGAGTAACTCGCGAAATGCCGTGAGATATTCCATCGTGAAGGCAGACCCTCACGCGTCAAGAAATAAAAATTCAAGCGTAGCCCTCGCTCTAGGCGATTTCACACTTGCGGTATTCGGCGAATCCCGAGTAGCGTGGACGGGTTGCTTACGATTCGCTGAGCGCCGAACATTCGGTATTCGCCCTACCCACCGCGTGTCGGTCGTTAGGGAGCGAACATTCCCCGAACACATCAGCTGTTCGGGATTGGGCGAGCTGCTCGGCGAATGCCGAATGTGTGGAGTCACCTTTAGGCGCAACACGGCCCGATTCAATACTCATACTAGAGCTCTACTCGGAAAGTCACAGCTCTGCGTGCAGTGCTCCCCACCTTACTTCTTCTTACCCCACCTTCTTACTTACCTTACTTCTTCTTTCTTCTTACCCCACCTTCTTACCTCTTTGCGCATAGCATCCGACTTCGGCCAATGAGCTTCAAGCACCAGTTTTTCGTCACAATATTAGCGGGAATTTTAAATTTGTCCAAACACAATTATTCTTTACCAACTCCTCAACGCTGGCAAGAATTAACGGGGTATGTTGGGAGAGGTGACAGGAAAGAAATTCGCGAAAAACGAGTTCATATCATATCTTCGGGATAGGTTATGTCTTAAATAAGTAGCTTATGTACGTGAAGTTATTTTTGTACATATTTTTTTTAAAATATTTAATTTTTTAAAAGCCAACCTTTTTGTATTTAAAAATTTCCAAGAACATAACAGTAGTCACTACTACTGATAAACAATTCCACTTTCTACATTCAATACTGTAGAAGCGAATAATAAATATAACGCTTGTGGGAAAACGGGAAGAACTAAAAGAATGCAGTTGTAGACACACCTAATTCTTCACAGGCTGGTACGGCACAATACACTCAAAAGCAATTTGTGTTCCTGCTGATAATATAATATTAATAATAATAATAAATAATAATTAATATATAATATTATGGTACACATATACAATTACAATCGTATATGACGAGTCAATATGATTGTCGTGAGGTGAAAGAGCGAAGTTAATTACTGTTCAGAGCAAACAAGGACCATCTCAGCAGTTGCTGAAGGACAGGAAACTGAACAAAACCTGATCGAGATGGGGTCATTGGCGTAGAAATTATACTACAATACTTGTATCAGATACATTAGGTTATTATGCAGTAAATAATTATTTTTAGTAGCAGATGATTTAACATTTCAAGATGTAATTGCAATTTTAATGCTACTACTTATAATAATATTAAAACAATACATATAAATTTTGTTAGCTACTACATAAAATTTAACAATATTAGTTCATTCTATATTTAAAACTTCAAATGGTGAGGAGGCAAATTTTGACCAGTTTTTTCTTCTTTTTTCTTCTTTCAATTTGTACACGTAGTCCTACTGCAGCACCTAATGCGTTTAGCGAATCCATAGAGAAACAGATTTTTTTTTTGTTTTTGTCAGGCATTCTCCCTCTATTTCACAAGATGCGATATGCCAGTTCTTTTTTCTTTGCTTCAGCTCAAAACAGTTAACATGAAACAGAAAGTTTAATGGGATACGAAATTCTTATTTATTTATATTTTTAAGGGAAATGTAATTTGAATAGTCCTTTACACTGTAGAACATGTTGTTAAGCAGGAAAGCTTTCAATTTACTTTCAAATGTATGAATTGTGTTTATGTCTGTACTATCTTTGCCTAGTTTGTTGTAAAGTGTAATGCCATCTATTAGGGTACATTTTTTGATAAAGTGTAGTTTCAGAGTGGGGAACATGTAGGTTATCCTTTTGACTGATGTTTTAGTTGTGTACATCGGAAGTGTTTTTTCAGTCATTTGTTCAGAGAACATGTGTGTCTACCAACATATAAACCAAAAATAACCACCTAGAAAGTTCTCCAGCGCTGTAAACCGACCATGAAGGTTATGCCAGCTGTGGGTCTATTTAAATCTCTTTGTGGAGGCATATGCACAATAACTATATAGTGAGTGCTCCACAAAACTTCAGAAGTTGATTGAAACCAAAAACTAAAACAAAGATCGATTTGTTTGACCTCCAAACACTTAAAGGTGCACTGAAGGAGCAACCAACCCTGCATGATCGTGCTTGGTTCCCTTCGCCTACTAGGAATCCCACTAGAATGGTGGGGCGTTTTTGCTCGTGTGGCTATTTTTGGTTACCCTCACCCCCGTACCTTGCACGTGCTTCTCTACTGCAGAGAGCCCGGTCCTACGACGTTGTTGCGCAGCATTTCCTTTATGATATGAAATATATTTAATAAACATATCAGGAAAGTCTCTTCGCAGTATAAACATCGATTAAAAATGTCATTCATACTTGTGCAGACTTATACTTTGTAACGACTTAACACATATATTACGCTGACACAAACACAATTACTACAAAATTAGATTTTGTTCAAACTTACGAGTTTGTTTCAAATATAATAAAATTGCCTTAAAGTTTCCACAAGTTAAGTTCTTATTGAAATGGCCCTTTCATGGGGGTAATGAAGTTACTTTCAGCGTAAATCAAACCTACGTCTACTACTTGTTCTGAAATGAAGTGTATTATTCTTAACGTTTTTATTACCAAAAATACCGAAATCCAATTTAAACAAGATATTTGGGATAGTTTGCCTCCTGTTAGCTCAAATCACTCTTGACTCGTCTCTCATAGTCGTAATCTAGAAGCTCACTTTGCGGTCTCAACGAATCAAACATGCATACTATTGGAAAATGCAACTCATATCTTCAAGAAACTTTACTGCAGGGCCGTCTGACGAAAAAGTTAGCAAATTATTTCTAGATGTAATTCGCGCACGCTGCTTGCTTCGAGGCTCCTTCACAGGTTCCCCAGAAAGTAAGCTAGAGTTGGCAGACAATGGAAATGTTGTGAAACGGGAAAAGAACGTGTTGTTTATTAAGGGTTTTTATTGACATATTTATTAAAACAATTTGTTACCCGAAACTTTCCCCCCCCACTGCGAGGTAAACAGCACATATCATTATTCGATGTAATGTGACAATGTATGCCGTCGTAGGAAGATATTAACTCAGCAGTAATGCCCATCACTCTTCCGCTTACAGTTTTACAGTTCACAATTTCGTGAAGTGAACGTTCAATAAAAGCTCAATGTGTCTGGCCCTTGGAGCTTAAGCTAGAGAGCTTTGAAATGCTGACTTATTCATACGTGTCTCAGGGAAGACTCAACTGGATACAGGAAAAAATGGCCTTTTGTGAAGGTGACTGCTTAATCGAGGCAATATTTGAGCAGGTTTTACTGCATTTAAATTTGGAACTTAGTGTCTGCAAAATGTGGCTGTCAGTAAAACCTATTAAAGTATTCTATACGTTTTGTATTTCCTAGACGAAACATGATTATACTTTTCTGTCTCAAACGTGTTATACGTGCCTTCCTCTTCAATGTTCTTATTCGAAGCATTTTCACTTGAAAAATGCTAAACGCATTCTAGCCAAGTACAAAGTCGATGAAATATGTATAGATAACTATGGACATAATATTTATCTCATTTTCTACATACCTAAAGATAATCTTCTTTTCAGATTTTTAACAACCGATATGGGGAAGCGAAAACGCGTTAACAAAAGAGTAAATAACAGGAAGGAGGATGGAGATAAGGTGGAAGAAGCGAGTGTGAGCCAGGTGACCACGTGGGATGATTGGTGGAACAGAAAAGAATCCGAGTTGGAGGAACGGTGGAGGAAGAGGGAAGTAGAGGTGGCGGAACAGTTGCTAAGTGGCGCCGAACGAGCAATTAAGGAGAAGGTGGAGGCAATGGCCGTCGCTGCGAAGGCCTGCCGGAGGAGGCAGCTGGAGGAAATGGAGGAGCTCTGGAGGGATCACGAAGCAGCGCTGGACGCCCAGTGGAGGAGCACCGCCGACACTGCCGTCGCGCGCTGCACCCGGGCCCTAGAGGGCGCCACCGCTGAAGTCCTCGAGAGGCAGACGAGAGACTTGGAGTGGAAGTGGAAGCTCAACGAAGCGGCGGTGGAAGAGCGATGGAGTCTCGTTGTCGACGGAGAGATCAGCGACACGAGCAAGGCCATAGACTCAATTTTTAAAAACTATTGCGACTCTTCAGGAGACGGTGGTGAAAAGCGAGAATCCCCGGAGAAATCAGGCCTGGAAAAGCAGATGATGGAAGCTTCCGTAAATCTTCAGGCACCTCCTCATGAAAACCCAATAGAACACATCAAGAAATTACTAGCTGCCACCGTATCCTTTGATCAAGTCGCTTGTAAATCGACGGACATCCAGGAGACGTACATATTTCAAGAGGACGAGACGCGTTGCGGGTCAGACAAGTTGCCTCTCGACAAAAACATTTCCGTCGCATTAGACGCTATTCAAGAAATACCTATGTCCTCAATGGATGTTTCCGTCGCGGGAGATTTGAAAGAGTCGAAGTTGCAGAAACCCGTCGACTCAGCGACTCAAGATAGTTCAGTTAAAATTTCGAAGTCGCAGATGGTAGATCGGGATTCAAATGAAATTTCAAAACCACACTCAGAACTTTCCGAAGGATCTTTCGTATCACGTAAAGGAATTGTAATGCTGGAGGCTATTCAAGAGGTAGAAAAGATTTTGAACTTTGGGCAAGTGGGTACTGATAAAGAATCAATCACAACTGCGAATGTGAAAGCACTTTCAAAAGATACTGAAGAATTGTTCGTGTCGCAGGAAGGATCTGTGGCGCTGAAGACAAAGCAAAACCAAGCTTTCGAAATGCAGAAAGGTGCTTGTCAGCAATCGCCTGCTTCTCCCACGCCCTTGTCTTCAGTGGCGGAGGACTTTGATGACGATGCATGTGGCGCGCTGAGGGAGTGGGTGGAGGGCGCTGGGGCCTTAGAGGCGCGTGATCCCCAGGAATCGCTCTCTGGCTGCGAGGAGGATCGCGGCGGGTCCAAGGAGGCCGTGACAGATGCGCCTGGAGGAGCGCCCGCCGTCCAGACAACCAGGTGCCTGAAGGCGAAAGCAGCTCTTTTAGGAGACCAGAGAAAGCATATTGAGATGTCCCGTGAAAAACATCTTGTGGAAACGGGGATGAAGTCTATTAAGGGCGGGAAGTTGCAAACGGAATACGAGGCGGAGAAGAGTAAAGACTTAATGGCATCGCCTTCAAGTAGCGAGAACAGCGACAACGATTCTTCAGAGGCCGAGTCAACAACTGGTGTATCTTCCACCTTCCAGAAATTCCAGTGTCCGGAGTCGGAGGACAAAACTACCTTAGAAAAAGAGGGAAAGCGAATTGAGGTCTCTCGTAGGGAACCATTCTTGGAAAAGGAGACGAAGTTTATTGAGGCAGAGAAATCTCAAGTAAAGTCGGAGGAGATTGAGAGTGAAGACCTGGAAGCATCACCTTCAAGTAATGAAGATAATGAAAGCGGGTCTGTGGATGCCGTGAAAGCAAATTCTGAAGCATTGCTTTTCTCTAAGAAATCAAAGAAATCCAGTGATTCTGAGGGCGATGACAGGGTTAATCGCTGCAAGAGCCCACACGTAACGTACACGACGAAGAATGATTTACTGGAGCAAACGGAGAAGACTAACTTCGAAGACAACACGAGCTCAGAGGAAGAATCCGAGGCAGTGGACGAGGAAGACCTCGTAACATTGACCACAGACGGAGACAACTCAAACGACAACGCGGACCAGGAGGTAAAACGGGCTAGAGATGGTTACGATATGGCGTTTCTGCAAATGCGTACTACAATGAATCTTCTCGATCGTAGATTTGACTCGCCGGAAGAACGTGAACGCACAGCACGCGCCACAGCGTCCAAAACCTTGGCCGCTTCCCCCGCCGCCGCCCGCGCCTTTGGCGAGCTAAGCCACCCGAAGGAAGAGGAAGAGGAGGAGGAAGCGCCTGAGAAACCCCCAGGAAGCGCCGTGAAGGACAAGACCTCCGACCAGTCGGACGAGGAGAGGACGCAATTCGAAGACAGGGAGCTGTCTGAGGGCGAGATGGAAGACCTGTTGGAAGTGTTCTTGGGAGAAACGTTTCTAACGAGGAAACAGCGCGCGAGCTGGAGGGTATCGGACGCCGCGTCGGCCTTCGCCGCCGCCCCCGACGCCGCTCGCGCCCAGGGCGAGCAGCTGCGGGAGGCGTCGCGGCGCCGCGACGTGCAGAGGGTGCTGTCGCTGCGGGCGGCCGGCGCCGACCCCGACGCCCCCGACGCCCGAGGGGAGACGGCGCTGCACACGGCCGCGCGCGCAGGTACACGCCACC